AGAGAGAGAGAGAGAGAAGAGAAGAGAGAGTGACTTTCGAGTCACTTCCCATAATCGGCCTTCGGAACGGGAAAGTGGGACGGGGTTTTCGAAACGGTCGATGATCACGGGTGTTGGTGTCTCTCAAAGATCGTTTTAGATCGCTTTAGATTGTGATTTGTGAGGACACTCCTTTAGTGCAACGCAGTCTTTATTATCTTCGTTCCTCACGTAGCCATTTTTACACCTGCAGCCGGCAGTATCTCGCGCGCACACCTGAAACATCACGAATGTGATTATTTAATTGAAGAAAGACCCTGGGCTGTCTAGTGGTTTGAATGACTAATCTCAAAGAAAAATTTTAGTTCCAAGGAATATTATCTACTGTAAAATAATTTAGACACTCACGATTCTAGGGCAGAAGAAAGGATTCGGTTTCGGCTGTTCGCAACTTGGCTCGCACATAGTTCCGCATAGCGACCAGTGTTCGTTATCAGGACACTCCACTGGTGAGTCGGCAAAAGCTTAAACAATCAAGAACACTAAATTTTGCAGGAAATCAATCCTGAAAGATCGTCTTAACACTAAACCCTACCGAGCCGGTCAAAGTGACCGCTTTCAGATGTTTCCTTTTAATGTGGCTGGAATTGTAAAGATTCTTTTACAGAAAACGATTGAATAAATGTTACCATACAAGCATACATTACAATAAAAGTGCCAAGAGGTCTAAATAAATATAATCTTCTCATCGTTATAGTCTCATCACGATAAGTTTAGTGTTAAACCGAACGATGCTTACACTCGGCAATTATCACGGCCAACATCGTCATCGCGACAAGGAATTTAAACATTTTGAACATTTCAAATCGCTTCTTACTGCTTCAACTTGGTATTTAGTGCCTTAACTCACGCAATTCGGATTTTTATAGTTCTCGTTCTCCATGCAAACGGGAACGACATATTTTATCTAGAATTTATTATAATACTATGGAAATTGCAACGTGCACACGGTAATAAATACCTGCTTTTATCGGGAGGCCATAATTTTGTCAACGAATCGCTATCGACAAGTTTACGATCGACTTCCTAGTTAGAATTAGCAGCGCGAACAAGAATTAGAATTTGTAGTGCTCCTTGTAGGTATATAATACATTGTTCGTGACACTAAAAGTTTAGTACATTTCAAAGCTTACCGATATTA